TGCATGCCCCGTCTGTGCCCCATCTTTCCCCATCCATCCCTGTACCCCATCCATGCCCCACCTGTCCCTCCACCTCCCATCCATGCTCCGTGCCCCATCCATGCCCCATGTCCCAGCTCATCCCCTGTCCTGCGCGGGCCCTTCATCTCCTTCCTTCCCCAGGGCATCAAAGGCGAGCGAGGCTACGTGGGGCCCCCTGGGGAGAAAGGGGAACTGGTGAGTCCCTCAGGGCTGGTGCTCCAGGGGCAGAGGGGCTGGGGACTCTCCCAGGTGCCTGCCTCGCCGTGGGCACCAGGGCTGAGGTCTTCCCAGCCACATCCACCTGACCCTGTTCCTCCTCTTCCCAGGGACCCCCTGGCTTGGACGGCCTCCCCGGTCCCACAGGGCCAGCGGTAGGTGCCTACTCTGATCGGCTTCTGGGGGGGCTGTGGGGAGGGAGGGGGCGTAGCTGTGGTGGCCCGGGGGTGCAGCGAGATGCTCCCTCCCTACCTCACCCCCTCTCTCCGCAGGGACCAAGAGGTGAGCGTGGGCTCCCAGGCAGCACCGGCGAGAAGGGGGACCAGGTGAGCACCCCCAAGGGGGCAGTGGGGACAGAGATCCCCAGGACCCCCATCAGGCAGGATGCAGCTGTCAGGGTTCGGCTCAGCTCTCGTCTCTCCGCAGGGTTTCCAGGGTCAGCCCGGTTTCCCGGGGCCACCGGTGAGTACGTCCTGCTGGGGCTACCAGAAGCGATGTTCCAGCACAGCAGGGTGTCCCTGGGAGATGATGCCTGGTCCCAGCTGTGTGTCCCCATGTCCCCACGGGGCTGGGTCGCCAGCAGGAGATGGGGACAGGGGTTTCTACCAGGGGGACACAGGCACATCCCACGGGATAAGGTGCAGAGAGCAGCCCCAGAGCAAACCTGTTAAAATGAGTTTGGAGACAGCAAGCTATGGGGTGCTGGGCTCTCCTGCTGTGACACCCCCCCCCTCACTCAACACCCCTCTTCTCTTTAGGGGCCCCCTGGCTTCCCAGGGAAGGTCGGTCCGACCGGGCCACCGGGACCAGCGGCTGAGAAGGTGAGTGCCACCGGGACATGGCTGCGTGGTGGCCTTGCTCATCCCTTGGGCTGGTGGCCGGGTTGGCCCCTGCTCTGCAGAGTGGCCGAGGGGTGCCCAGCCCTGGCTGCTCCTGTGACCTCCTGTGGCTCTTGCAGGGCAGTGAGGGCATGCGTGGCCCCACGGGGATGCCAGGACCCCCTGGACCCCCTGGACCCCCAGGCATCCAGGTAAGACACCCCCCCCTATGCCACTCCTGGGGACAAAGGGGACAGGACCACTGGTATCATGGCGCTCCTGGGGAGCGCTGCTGGCTGGACCCGTTCCCCAGAGACCTGTTCCCATGCCCTGGCGTGACCAGAGCCGGTCCCTCAGGGACCCCCAGAGCCCCTCAGTGCAAATCACCCACTGCCACCCTCACCTTGTCCCCACAGGGCCCCGCTGGCTTGGAAGGACTGGACGGCAAGGACGGCAAGCCAGGGCTGCGGGTGAGGCTCTGGGGCATTCCCAGCTGCTGGCGAGGGGGCAGCTACCCTGCAAGCCCCCCCGGACACCCCCAACCCGTGTCTCTTTCTCTCTAGGGTGACCCTGGCCCCCCCGGGCCACCAGGGATGATGGGTCCTCCGGTGAGCGACAGTCTTCCTTGTCACCCCTCCCCGGTCCTCAATGCCTGGCATGTCCCTGCAGCCAGGACCAGGTGTCGCCTGTGCTGGGACTGTCCCATCGCGTGCTCCCAGGGACACTGAGCCCGAGGGGGTTGGTGGGCATCCCCCCCAGGCTGGCGCTGCAAGTCAGGGTGCCTGGTGGAGACCAGGGTGACGGTTGCCTGCCTCGGTTTGCTCATGGGAGCCGGGACCCCCACCCAGCTCTTTTCTCCCTCTAGGGCTTCAAGGGGAAGACGGGGCACCCAGGTCTCCCAGGACCGAAGGTGAGCAATGGTGGCACTGGGGGACACTCAGCGGTGACAGCCCCGAGGACCTCAGTTTTGGGCCAGGGTCTCCACGTGCTGCACTGCCCAGAATGTCCCTTCCTCCTTTTAGGGTGACTGCGGCAAACCCGGCCCCCCGGGGAGCACGGGACGTCCGGGAGCAGAGGTGAGCAAGCGGGTGGGTGGGTGCGGGAGCCCTGAGCTGGATGGGCCCCCCACTGCCCCTCATCATGCTTCCTTCCTCAGGGTGACCCTGGACCCATGGGACCCCAAGGCCGGCAGGGACCCCCAGGGCTCATTGTAAGTTGGACTTCCCCCCACGGTGCACCGGGACGGTGCTCATGGCAGGGAGCATGGTGGGGACTCCCGAGCAAGCGGGTGGGTGGGTGCGGGAGCCCTGAGCTGGATGGGCCCCCCACTGCCCCTCATCATGCTTCCTTCCTCAGGGTGACCCTGGACCCATGGGACCCCAAGGCCGGCAGGGACCCCCAGGGCTCATTGTAAGTTGGACTTCCCCCCACGGTGCACCGGGACGGTGCTTATGGCAGGGAGCATGGTGGGGACTCCCTCCAGCGCAGGGAATGGGGACATTGCCCATGGCCCCCCCTCCACTCACCACCCCTCTCTCTGCCCCCAGGGCCCCCCTGGCAGCCCAGGGCAGCCGGGTCCCGCTGGCCTCGCCGGAGTGGTGAGTACTGCCTGGGGCTGCACCCTGTCCCATCACAGCCCCAGCTGCGGGATGTGGGGGTCGGGTGGGTGCCACAGAGAGCAGTTTGGGGTTCACCATCCCCATCCTGCCCTGACTCTGATGCTCCTGGCTCCCTCCTGCCTCCCTGCAGGGGCTGAAGGGTGAGCGGGGCTCTGTGGGGGAGCGAGGTCTGCCAGGGATGCCAGGACAGCCGGGACCCCCAGGCCACCCAGGACCACCGGTGAGTACAGTGGGGCACAAGGGGTGGCACAGACCCCTGCTCCCTGGTGCAGCGGGGACCTCGAGGACAACACCATGCTGGTTGCCATCTCGCACTGCCCCGCTTTGATTTTGCAGGGGGAGCAGGGACCAGACGGACCCGTCGGTAAAGAGGTATGAGCGCGGGCTTTGTGGCTCTCCTGTCCCATGGGACTCAGGACCGGATCGTGGCATCCTCTGGCCTGGCCATGGTGTCCCCAGGGTGCCCGTGTGGGGAACATCCCTCCCACCTCACTCCTCTATGTCTCCCCAGGGCCCCCCAGGAAAACCTGGCACCGTGGG